CAGTAGTGCTAGTTTCTCTCTATTGCACTTGGTGCCCCTTGGTTCATATATACATTGGATAAATATCAAAGAAAAGAAAGGATGGAAATGCTAGACACAAGCCCTGAGAATAGAGTGATTGCTGTATGATATTGCTATTAGTAACAAATATTCTTGCAGCCGTTACAATGGGCCGGGCACACCTGTACAGGAAGCTCATCTAATCCTCACGGTCTACCTGCAATATATTTTCCAAGGCACAGACAGGCCACACATGTCACCCCTCATTGTCTCTGACCAGATTGCACAGTAGCTACCATTCTCTGCGCGATGGAATATTTTAGGCACACATGCACCCAAATCTATCCCAAATAATGCAATGAGCACCTATATGCCCACCACCATGCAACTGAAGAAACGTAACTTTTCAAATATAATTGTAATCTTCTCCCTTACCTCTCAGAAATAACCACTGTGATTAATGAAGTGTTTGTTATTAAAAAATGCTCTTGTGAGCCGACCAAGTAGCTCATTGGCTGGGAGTTGGCTTTTGAGCACGAGCTGTGAGCAGCAGAGCCGCTGATTCGGATCCCACATGGGCCAGTGACGCTGTGCCCTCTACAGCTAGGATGGTGAACAACAGCTCTACCTGGACCTGGGCTGCCGTAGTAGCCAGCAATGGCGTAGGCTGCAGTGGGGCTGCAGTGGGCTGCTGTGAGCGGCTGTGAGTGGCCATCCAATGACTGGCGACCATTCTGCCTCAGCCTGGAAGAACGCAATGATCACAATACCAACATGGGCCAGTGAAGCGACGTCCTCCACAGCTAAACTGAAGAACAAGAGGATGGGGGCTTGTCTGTTCCCCATCCCTGATTACCCAGAGCTGTTCCCTCCCCCAATTCCCCAATAAAACCTTTAAAAAAATGCTCTTGCTACGTATGTATAAATCTTTAACTGCTATAGAGTATGTTATTAAATATATAAATAGTATCGTCTGCGACCTTCTGCAGCTGCCTTTGTCCTCATTAGCTTAACATTGTGTTTGTGAGTTTCATTTGTGTTACATGAAGCTCAAGTTCTTTCTTTTGCAAAGATCTTGAATATTTTAGCTTGTGGACCTGCTGTATTGTATAGATCCATTATTCTGATGATGGACATTTTATTTTCCTCCAACATTGTGCTCTTACAAGCAGGGACACAAAGGATATTCTTATATGTGTTGACTTGTGCTAAGTGGCATGCTATCTCTGGGGCGTTGGCCTCGACATGGAATTCCCAGGTTGGATAGAGAATGTGTTGGTTTTCTTAGCTGCTGCCCCATTCCTCCCCAAGGTAGTTAAATTGGGCACTGATTTTTTTTTTTTTGAGTTTGTAGGTGCCTTTGAGGATCTGAAGAAAGCTAGGGACATGCAGTGTCTGATACAGAAGCCACTCGCCAGGCATGGCTCTCTAGCACTTGACACGTGGTTGGTCCTAATTGAGATGTGAACATAAAATAGAGCAGGGATTTCAACAACTTAGCACGAAAAAGAGAATGTAAACGATCTTACTGATGATTCTTATATTAATTACAGGATGACATGATACTGTTTCGGACACACAGTCAACCCCTTTATTCACAGATTCCATATTTGTGTACTCGCCTACCCATGAAAATGTGCTGGGAACCCCCAAATCATCAATCACAATGCTCATGGGCATGGGAAGAGCAGTGGAAAATCTGAGTCACTGACACATGTTTCCAGCCGAGGTTGAACAGGCGACGCCCTGCTTTCTGAGTTCAGCTCTCATCCTGTGAACAAGTGTCCTTTCGCAGTCTAGGCAGTGCCATGTGCTGCGCTTTGTGTTGGTGATTTTAGGTTTCAAATGGCCCCCAAACCTAGTGCCAGAGTGCTGTGTAGTGTCTTAAGCACAAGAGGGCCGTTTTGTGCCTCACAGAGAAACATGTGTATTAGACAAGCTTCTTTCAGGTGTGAGTTACAGCGCTGCTGGCCGTGAGTTCAGTGTTAGTGAATCAACTATGTGTACTAAGCAAGCTGTCTTTAAACATAAAAGCTCATAAAACAGGTTATGTATTCATCGGTTAATGAAAATATTGTGACCAAAAGCTCACAGGAGCCTAACCCTGTATTTCCCCCAGGGGCAATGATTCAGTGTCAATAATTCAGTGTTCTCTGTGACTTTATAAACCAGAACTACTGTGAATAAGGACAACCGACTGTACTGAGTGACACCAATAGCAAGAATAAACTGTATTGGTGCAATAAAACATTATCAGAATCATTTTTACCTCACTAGTGTTTTACTTTGCAGAGTCACCTCTGGGCTCCTTTGTCACCTTCAGTAGAACAGGTAACAGCCTGCATGCCATTAGAATGGAAACACATTATCTGCCACACAGTACCTGGGGTTACAGATCCTACTGGGTCTCTAGAGGTCTGGGGGCCGTGGGCTAAGAATCACTGCATTCTCCGTGTCCACTGGGCTCCAGGCTGAGGTCCTGGTCCCACCTTCGTGTATGTGGACCATCACCTCAGCCTCCTCCCAGCCTTCGGTTTCTCTCCCCTAGTGTCCCACCCACTGCCCCAAAGGCACCTCTAACACTCAGAGATGGTGTTCATCCCTCACCTTCTCAATAGCCTCCCATGGCTCCCCATTGCCCTGGGATAGGGTCCATGTTTCCCAACCTGGCTTCTGAGTTTTTCCTGAGCTAGCACCTGCCTCTCCACCCATCTCGCCCAACACCCCAGTCACACAGAAGGACTCACAGCTGGGCACACCGGATTCTCGCTCTGTGTCCTCAGGAAATGTGTGTGCGACCAGGAGACTGATGGATGGCCGAATGGAGTGCATTTGTAATGGCTTCTAAATCCCGCGTGGTTAACGATAATTATAGCGAGTATTTACTGAACTCGGTGGTATTCCTGCCCTGTGCTAATCTTCACAGCAGCCGGAAGAGGTACGCCCTATTATTAGCTCTATTTTATAGTTGAGGAAAGGGACACTGACAAAGATTAAATCTCTTGCCCAGTGTCCCGACTCGAGTCACCAACCGAGTTGGGACTCAAACTCCAATGGTTGGACTTCACACCACTGGGGCCTCTCTGTTTGCAGGCCAAGAGCTAGCACAGGCGTATGTCCAGGCTGCTGACTGCTTTTGTTTCTGTTCAAATTCAACACCCAATTCCTGAGGCCTGAGATGGGACAACTGACAAGCAGATACATTCTGTCCAGGCCCCAGGAGAGCCTGGAAGGGGGCATGGACAAGCATAAAACAGGGTGTTACCTATTCTAATAGAGGTGACAAAGTGGAACCCAGAGGTGACTGAAAAGTCCTGATGGGACAATGGGACATTGGGGGGTGAGGATGGGGGGAGAGGCCTCCCAGCAGAAGATAGTCTTGTGTGGAATTCAAGTGAAAACAAACTAATTACTTAATACAATGGAGCACCTACTGGCTAGCTACAATGTTTCAAGCACATTTGCAGGACCTGGGGATACAGCAGGGAGAGCAGAGCCAGCAGGCAAACCTCAGACACAGGGAGCGGATGAGGGGCTGTCTAGGGTCGAAGGAGACGGGAGAATTGGGGTGATGCCTAAGGGTTGTGGTGTTTCTTTTTGGGGTGATAGAAACATTCTAAAATTGGGGGTGGTGATGGCTGCACACTTCTGTGGCTACACCAGAAGCCATTGAGTTGTGTCCTTGAAATGGGTGAGTTGTGCTGTTGTGGGAATTACATCTCAATAAAGCTCTAAAAAACATCCGGTGGGGTGTACTTTCTGGTGAGAGGCTGCAGTGAGCGTGACGGGTTGGACACCCAGGTCATGTTAGCACCCC